CACGTTTTTCCCATCCCACAAACCAACTACGTGGCAATACCTTACCCCCTCCCCCTCACTTCTCTGCAAATCAAACGGCTCGCCTCCCCTGATTAATAACCCACCCCCCTTTCAAATGGCAGATGGCAGGTACCACCCGATACCCCTCCATCTCCAACACACCCTACCCTCCCTTAAAATTTATGCTCCTGAAGGAACACAACATCCACTCCTATATTTATCAAGACATCTTAACCATTCTCTCTTTATACACTATTACACATACATTAACGTTTACCGTCCATACACCGAGGCCTATTAAAGTTTCCACCCCTGCCTCCTCTCTCACTCATCCTATGGGCACCATAACTTGTTGGGACCACTTGTCACCTCACACTACCCTCTCTCCCCCCCTTCTTTCGTGCCTCCTGTCATGCCACCAGTCTACCGTCACCTTCTGGCCCATATTTTGCTTCCTCAGTCCCGCAGCGCTGGCGTTAGGACATCATCTGAATCCGACGCAGTGGCTCTCTTTCTGTGAACAGGCGCATCCCTCCATGGCTTGTCTGGGGATGCCTCACAATGTACCTCAACCTCCACTGTACACATGGCAATCATCTCGGTGGACACCTCATCACGCTGTCACTCGTTGTCCAATAGTTCTGTTGTTGATGCACCACAGAGCCTTCACATCGTCTTTCTACCACCTTTGCGAGAGCAGCCACCTCCTCAGGCGGTGACAAGGAACTTCAGAACCTCGGCTAATTCCTCCTCAATTTTCCACACTTCCTCTCAGTCATTTTGCGCAAAACCCGATCCACTGGAAGTGGGGTCCCTCTGGGCCAGAAACTGGTCAAGGCCTCACCCTCTTCCCCCAGACTTATGCGCCTCATCATCCACAAATCTCCCCATAGACGAACCACGCCCTCCTTCACGTCGTGATCATACACCTGCTCCCTCCAGTGTAGAAGCTGATGTCTCCCGCCCATGGGCCAGGAAGCTCGTTGCCGCTTCCACATCCAACCGCTATGTGATCATATTCCCCACATAGGCGGCATGTACGCCTTTGAGCCCGGCGTAGACACCATGACCTGTGTTCCTGAAATTCCCTTTAGGTACTCGTAAGACGTATTGGGTGTCGCAATGTCAATTTTGGGTTAAAGTGCCCTCCGGCATACCTGTGAAGGCACACCCTTCACCCACTTACCATGCCTGGCCAAAGAACAGTTCGTATTCCTCAAAAACTTTTCTGATAATCTTTCCCCATCAGCCTCAAAGGGGACATACGCAGTAAATCCATGTATAATGACAGGATACATCGATCACCCTCACACGCACAAAGCTGGTTTGCATCAAGACTTACGTCCTGAAACGTTTGAACACAACGACTCCTAAACCGTTGGCCGAGAGCAGTTTCACAAAAATCTAACGTGCTCCGTTCAATGCTACTCCGTACAACTCGCCATCCTGAATGCAATACGTGTCTCAAGGATTATTAGGCAGTAAAACCTGGCTGAAGCTGCGTTATTGCCCCACTGAGAGTTCAACACCGAAAGGTGTAATCCTGCGTCTGTAACTGAACGCCATGTTGACTAATGTTAGTCACCTGTCTGACGTCAGAGGCGCGACAAGCCACCACCCACACTACTGCAGTCAGGGAACTGAAGTGCGTTTGCGCAGGTCTACACGGCCCAATAGCGATGCAGACAAATCCTGTCTTAAACTAATTCTTGCAAGCATTTAGTATATATAGCCCCCCTCAAAGCTGGACCAAGAAAAAAATCCTCAGAGCACAAGTCTAAAAACTAGGATGCCCTGATTGGTTTATCAAACAATGTGAAAAAATGAAAGTGCCAATTATTACAAAATCTTGGCTCACAAAAACAACTCCATCAGTCGTGTCAACAAAAGGACTGACTATGGAACAACACTTCAGACTGAGGGACTGACCACCTCAAAACTTCAAGGGTGATGAACTGATTACATCGTCTTCAAGTATCTTCTGCTTCTATCAACTTTTCTGTACTCGACTGAAGCCGCCTACTGTGTAGGCAAACGTTTCTAAATAAAGATACCTAACTGTAGCATATGTGTCTTACCTAACAAAATGACTGACATAAATCACTTTCTATCTTAACAAATTGCGAAATCTTTTTCCAAGAAACGGTCGTCCAGTTACCCAAGACATACCAGGAGTCTACCCGATACTATGCAAAGACTAACCAAGTAAACATTGATTAGACAGGCCAAAAATGTGTCGACGAGGATCACCGAACATCAGAGGGCAATACCTTACGACAACTGAATGTAACCGTCTTTCAACACATTAGCAATAATCACAATATTGTGGAAAAAAGACATATGTACAGTTCAGGACATTTAAGTTAAAGTTTCGCCACTAGTGGCTTCTTCAGTCCTAATACAGAGAGAGAAAAAAAAAAACGTGTCCTAACGTCCAGAGATCTGGCCGTTTCCCCTACATATACTTTCAGTCCATATATCTATATTTGTCAATATATCTAGTCATTCGCTGCCTGACCACGGTAGTGCGGTTGTGCTCTGCACCCCTCTGCTGTTTTCAGGCGAGCTACCTTGTATCAACATGGCGCTGAGTGTGAGGAGGCGCGTAAATACCATTGGTATTGAGCTGCTTCGTGGGGGGGATTTCACCCTCTTCAGCGCAAGTCTTACTCCCAACAATCATTAGGGAGACCTATGGAATCCAGGACGATGAGGTGTATGGTGTAGCCCTGAATGGGGCTTACAGAATCTTTGTCAAACTGAATTCCACGTCCGTGTATGAGTCTTTGGTGACGAGATTCCAAGACGTGAGTCTTGACGCTACTCCAGCTGTGAAGGTGCGTTTGATCGACGTATCTCGCCACTTTACGTGGGTTAAGATACGTAATGTCCCATTTGAGGCAGATGAGGTGACATCAGGTGTTTTTGAGACCATATGGAACCATACATCTGGCACAAAAGGGCAAGTGGACGGCAGGTGCTTACATGGGGGCCCTCCGGAGGGTACTTTTCCCTGAAAAAGATCTGAGACATCCATAACC